CCCCCCCCCCCGGTTTTCTTCTAAACGAAAAGTTCTTTATCTTTTCCTTTTATAAGTATTAACCCCATCCCGACTTTTACTTCCCACACCCTCGCTTCCCCCTCCCTCATACCCTGCTCCTTTGTCCCCTTCTTTCTCCTCTACTACACCATTATCCCCTTCTTTCTCCTCTACTACACCATTATCCCCTTCTCCTCCTCCATCCCCTCCTAACTCTTCCTCTTCTCTTGTTTCCTTCGTCACTTCAACCCCAATTATCTCATCTCCTTGAATGATCTCCCTTCTCTTCCTTGACTCTAACATCATCTCTTTCCTGCACAGTCCTAATCACCTTTTTGCTCTTCTCTTCCTCCATCGCTACTTTTTGCTCCTCCAAATCTTCTTCCTCTGTTTTTTCCAAAGCTTTGTCCATGTCGTTAGATCCTTCCTGAATGTCTCCATCGTTCCCCTCTTTTTCCTGTTGAAGGCCACTTACAAAATCTGTGTGTACCTCCTTCTCTTCATCAAACCTCTTTTCCTCGATCTCTTTTGGCCTTTGGACTGCTGTAACACTTTTGGAGAAGAAGATAGACCACCACAAATGTCTCCCGTCACTCTTTGAAACCCAACTCACATGACTCGGTTCTTACTAAAATATCCTTCCTTTGGTTCAATCCTGTCTAACCCAAGTTTACCTCGGTTTGGTCAGAGAGAACTTTTTTGTAATTTGACCTTGCCCCTGATCAGACCGAGCCCCCTCTTAACCATTTCAGTGAACAAGGAACCAACCATTAATTCTTTTTAATTTCAAAAAAAAAAAAAAATTGAACAACTTTCCTACTCTTCCAATGCATTTACTCGACTTTTGGGGCTTGACTGTTCGACTTCCACAGAAGGCGAAGAGGCAGCTCCTTTGCCCTCATCACCCTCTCTTCTTCCTCCACATAGGCTCACCCTGGCTAGCTCAGCATTGTCTTCCTCCTTGCGAAAATGATGCCAGAGTGCCACCTCTACTCCTGTCACCAGCCATATCTTCCTCCACAGTCCATCAACACAAAGAGCCAACAATCTTGGAATATCTTCAGGTTTCACACTGAAGATCCTAGCTCTCACTGCATGCAGATCACTCGTGTCAAAACTTTCAAGGATCCCACCCAGGGTTCTAATGATCACGGTAAGCATCGTTCCATTCCACAAGTTGAAAGGAAGCCCCAATGGTTTCACTGTGAAGCTTCCTTCTGCAACTTCAACTTCATTGCATGACAAGTGCCACCTTTTTATGACGACCTGCCATTCCTCTGTTTCTACCAAAGCCAATTCAACCTCCATAAGACCCACATCCATAACTGCCCTTGTCTCACAAAAAGGAGTCAACAATTCTTCAGAATTAACTTTTAATTTCTCTACTACTGTTTTCCCCACTGAGTTCTAATCCTGTATCCAAGGTTCAAAGTATCAAAACACGTATCGGGCCGTATCAGCCGATATGTATCATATCGAGAAATTCCCGATATGCCCCTACAGAGGGTGTATCGGGGTTTCGACCACTTCAGGGGGTGGACAGACCTTCAACTGGCCCCTCTGAACCAGATTTGAAAAAAAAAAAAACTAAAAAAATAAAAAAAAAGGCTATCAATACACCTCTACCAGCGTATCAGGCGTATCAATATTTTGAACATTGCTTGTATTTCCTTTCCGGCTAATAATGCAAGCTTTTGCTCCCAAATGTCTTTTTTCACCTCCAATCCTAATCTATGTATTTTTGTCGAGTTGCTAATTGTGATTTCTGGCAGGCTCAGATTATCAACATTTGAATCAATTGCTTTCTTGTCTGACTCCGATACCATTTTCGAGTCAATATTTTCCATCGCCTCTTTCGACATCTTTACTCTCCCCTCTTATCTCCCTTTTTTTTCTATTAGAAGCATTAAGTCTTGGAGTTTGTCTGCAAACACCCTCCAGCCATCATTTGTCTCTCCTTCCGGTAGGCATATCAATTGTTTTTTTCCTTTCCCAAAGGATTCCAAGACCTCTATGAACCATCCTCTACTGTTACATTTCAGGATGGCTTCAAAGAACTTCCTTGCCATCGTCACTCAACTCTTCCATCCAGTTTGTTTGATAGAGTATATCGAACCCTCAATGAACCCTTTCAACCAAAGATTTGCATCTTCTTCTAGGATCATTGTTGCTCTCTTCCCCTCTCTCACCAGCGTTCCTCCATTCTTAAAAGAGGATTTTTTTAGCTTCAACCTCTAAAGCTAGTCTCCAGACTCCACCCACCCTGAATCCTTCTTTGCCTGACCAAGCCATTGCCAGCATAGATATTTAGCATGGGAAGTATTCCTCCACTAATCCATTCTTCAAGGTAGACATTGCAAGAAAACTGTGTATATACATACATATACAAGCTCGCCATAGAAATTGTGAAAATAGACTAAAACTAAGGGGATTGGGCTTATCAAAATTTGAATGGATCTAGCCCAAGGCCCAAACTCGAATAAGTGTAAAATGCTAATGCTAACTCAGGCCAACCCAAGTTGCACCCCTAACTAAAACAACTCGTTAGGTCTATTTAATTAGCGAACTGTTACCACCAAACATAAAACATAAGTTACCTCAGCATCAGGTGTCCATTGCAGTACAGAGGATAGAGTACCAGGGTCAGTTGTTATCCTGAATCCCTTTTCTTTTATGCCACCTCTTGACCATAATGGTTCACTGGGTGTACCATTCATGGGACGAGAAATGGGTCTAAGGAGATGTTGAATGCATTTTGGAATGCGTGAAGCTGGAAATATATCCACGTAACTAGGGTCATTGACAATATTTTCACTGAACCTGAAGAAAACCAAATGCATTAGAAGCAAACTTATTACCTCAATATAATTCGATGCATAGCCAAATTAAGGAATGCCCATCATAATGCAGATGAGAAAACTTGAGAATACAAAAATATGCATTTATACAACCAAAGTGCAACTGGATACAACATAATTAAAAATAATAAGGGAGAATTTAATGATGAGTTTGCTCATATAAGGGAAATTTTGATGATGGTAGGGGTGGGGGGATTTTTTTCTAGGAATAAAGAGAAATATTTGTTGCTGGTATGAAAATCGACTGAGCAAATAACAACTAGATAACTAAAGAAAAAAATCTTTCAGTAGTTGTACACAAAAGGGTTCCATAGCATGTGAACATTAGAACATTTTACATACTAAATAGCCAAAAATAGAATGGCTCCACAAGACTATTTGGTCAGCCTTGCAATATTTACGAGTTCACCTTACCAATACCATGAAAAGCCCGATAAATTATAGATGGCAATAGTCACAGGGAAGATAATTTAGCTTGTGAATTAGGTACTCTGATAAATTATAGATGGCAATGGTGCAGGATGTTAGTAAACCCAAGCAGATTCTAGGTTGAAGTAGAGAAGAAGAAAGAAAAGAGAAAGAAGAAGAAGAAGAAGAAGAAGAAGAAAGAAAGGTTCGGCCAGACTAGAAGAGAGTCAAAATCACCCTCCCCTAGCTGACCCACTTGTATTTATTCAAAAACATAGAGTT